AAGTCATGTAACCTCTGTTTGCCTCAGTTTCTTCATCTATATAATGGGACTAGTAATAACACCTACCTCTCAGGATTGTTTATGAGGATCACATGAGATATAATATCTGTAAAATGCTGACCACAGTGTCTGGCACATTATAGCCACTTCACAAATGCGTATTTCCCTCCCTTCACTCCTGAGTGATGCAAGACTGATTATTTCTTTTCTTCTTCACTATTTTGCATTGAGTTATCTCTTCATAGCAGGCTATTGTAAACTCTGGATATCACAGCTTAAACTAAGGGAGTAATGGAGGATATGGGTATGAAAGGAATGGGGGTTCATATTTGAGTTGCAGCTTCCCTTACCTGCAATCCACATCTAGACATGAGACTGATTCCGAGGAACTGTGAAAAGTTCCATAATTTGCGAGTGGCTATCTTTCCTTTCTCCAAATTACAATTTCAAAGCCTAAAAGAAAACTGACAAAGGATCTAAAGAAATTTAATAAGCTGCCTATCTTATCTTTTTTTTTTTATCATCACATACTGCAACTGTTTACTGTTACAGGTATAAAATTGTCTTGGTAGTATGGAGAGGATCCTCAAGCCTTCATGGGCTGCTTCATTGTGGCATTGAGGTGATGCCGCTGTCCTCTCAAAGGTAGTGTAGCAAAGTCCAAGCTCTGATAGGTCTTAGGGAGCTGGAAAGGTTTCAGTTATTGGTTCCAGAAGTATGCTGTGCAACTGTCGTGTGAGGACTGGTTTAGAGACTGATTCTTAGATGCTTATTACTAATGGGCTGCTTTCCAAGTGATGATTTATTTTTATCCTCAGCAACTGACAAGGGCCATCTTCCAAGGAGTTGGGGGGCCAGGGGTTTGCAGCCTACACTGGTGAATGTTGTACCCAATAGCAACAAAGGGATAGGGATGGAACATGTAATTTCATTGGTACAGAGAACTCTTGAATGAAGAAACACCCTGCACAAATGCAGCTGGGACTTTCTTTTCAACTTTAGAGTCTTAGAAATTTGCTTAGAGTCCTGAGAGGGTAAGTGATTTGCCAGAGTATGTACCTGGAGGCAGAATTTGAATCCAGGTCTCTTGGCTCTGTGGTCGGCTCTCTATCCATCTCTGTGACCCTGGGCAAATCATTTGGCCTCTCTGTACCTTGCTTTCCATATTTACAACACAAGGATAATGATAAAACCTACCTTACGTGATTGTTGTGAGGATCAAATAACATCACATATTTACGTGGTTTCCAACCTTAAAGCCCTATATCAACACTTCTTAAACTTTTTTGTGTCATGGACCCTTTTGGTGACCTAGTGAAGCCTATGAATAATGTGTTTTTTTTAATGTGTAAAGTTACAAAGGAAACCAAATGTATTGAAATACAAGTTATTGAGATTTAAAAAAAAATTCAGAGATCCCAGGTTAAAAGCCTATGCTATTATTAGTATTATATAATATTATATATTATATTGTGATATGATATATAATCATACATAATTGTATATAATTATAATGTGATTATAATATAACATATACTATATTATTATCACAATATCCTGGGGCTAATAATAATTATAATAGTCAATATGTAGAGAGCTCCAAGGTTTATGAAGCATTTTATGTATGTTATCTCATTTGATCTTTAAATGATATTATTTCATTTGGCTACATAGATCAAATCATGCATTCCTGGAGTACTAAGTGAGTATGGAGAAGGTAGAGAAACACAGGATAGTTGGCTTACCAGGACTTATTAGTTGAAATAGCAAAATTCTGTGATTTTCTTTAAGAAACCCCCAAGAGCTAGAAATGGTAGTGTTAAAGGATCTCAGGAAAACACAACTGGGTCTGAATATATTTATAGAGTTGATGCATGTGCAAGAGGGTACAGAGGTCCCTTCAGTGTTTGCTCTATTTTTCCCAGGAATACAGGGCTGTTTTAAAGGTGACTGCCTTATTTGACAGAGCTTTAGTTAAAGCATTACGTTAATGCAAACTCCCACAAAAGGGGTTTTGGATACCACAGATGACTGGATATTATTAGTATATCTGTTATAAACTGTAGAGGCATGAAAGGGGGATGCTTTCAAGAGACCCAGAGGCAAAGCAAGCTCTCCTAATTAGAACTATTTGAGTGGGAACAGGCAGAAGTCAGGGTGTGAGCACAGAAAAGTTCTGTGTGGGTGTCAGGGATCTTGAGGCAAGCAAACCTGAGTAATCTGTGTTAGAGGGAGAAGGGGAACACATTGTATGTATCTTGTGAATGGTCATTTAGGAAGGTCCCAGATTTCACATGGTAATAATAAAAAACACATACATACATCCTTTTGTATTTGGCAATAAATAGTTCATGAAAATAAAACAAAGCCCATACTCCCTAATCAGTGTTACATCCTCAGATAAATGCAACTTTCAGATGAGGCTGTCTTATGTAACACCCAACTGTTTAGGAAGGGAAAACTAGTTCTTTCCCTCAAGCACACAAGTAGCACTATTTAGGTTTTTGTGAATCTCGACACAATATAGCAATCACATAACAAACCCAACAATTATACAGCTGAACAAAGTGTCCTGGTTTCTGATGCATAATGTGTGTTGGTCAACTAGAAATGTATTGATGAAAGGATGATTTGCATCTATAAATTAAGATGTAAAAATATTCCTCTGAGGCCTGGGAAGAAGCATCAGTTTCCTGTATCTTGGTGCCAGTTGCCATAGAGAACATTCTAAAAGAGAATGGAATTCCCAATGCCTTGAATGCCACAGCATGATTCAAGAGTCTTTTAAAATGCTTTGTGATTATATAATTTAGGTTGGTTGCACAGTAAATTTGATTTTATAATTAGTTTCATTATTAAATTCCTGGCACAAAGTAAGTGCTTAATAAATGCCTGTTGATTTTTTACTTCTGGGTTATATTGGGTTAATTTGCCCCTTTCCTTATCTCCTCTAGTTTGGATGAACAAAAGATCCCATTTTATTCCAGAAAACAAAGTTGCACATTTTAGGAGTGGATAACATGTGACATTTAAAAAAATATGGTTCCTGCTCTTTTTGGAAATATCTGCTACAGAAAATGAACAAAAACATTTATAAAAATAGAGAGTTCTTAATATTTTTCTATTTGAAGCTATGCTCTGTTGTTTTAGGCTAAAAATTCAGTTTGCCCACCCACAGTTCTAGGGGTATGTATGAATTCTATCGTATCATTTTCTGATGCTTGTATCAGTGGGGAGAGTGTTGACCTCGAAGTCAGAAAGATCTAGGTTCAATTCTTATCTCTGACACATACTAGTTATGTGACCCTGGGGAAATAACTAACCTGTCAAGTGCTCTAGACAACTTCGACTCTCTAAGGCTTTATGTTGCTAAGAAGATGCCTACCTAGATTGAGAGAGATTGTTTCCTCATCTCAGAGACCTCTATACTAATGAAATCACAAGTCTAGCCCCATCCCTGTGTAATAGTTCATCTCTGACATTTGCCACCTGTATAACCCTGGAGAAACCACTTGTCCTCTTTAGATCTCAGTTTCCTCATCTGCAAAAAATGAGGTGGTTGAATTAGATAGCCATTGAGTAGTCATATTTGTGACAGATTGTCTATTACTGCTTTGAATCATTTAGTCTGAGAAGATGGTCTATTTTTCCTTAGACACTGTTTAGGGGGAGAAAAGTGCTTAGCCACTAGTAATTCTGAAAAACAACAAGCAAATCAAACCTCAGGCATATAATGTGCTTTGTAAAATGGACTTTTATATTCATATCCAAGTTAGTGATTTGATTCAAACAGAAAGTTTCATTTAGCTCTGTTTGGAAGAACTTCTCCCCTGAGAAGTTTGGAAAATGTCCCTGGGTTTATTGAGTTCTAAGTAATTGTTACAGAAGTCCAAATATGCATAGAAAAATGTGTAACAGATTACTCTCAATTATGTCAATAGGAAATAATCTTATCCAATTAGGTGCATAAATAAAACCCTAAAAATCAGTATTTGGTACTTAACAGAAGCTGCTCAAATAGTGCACTGGCAGTAATTTCCAACATCTATATTACATTGCCAATATCATTTTGGGACAGATTAGAGAATGAAAATGTTTATCTTGTTTATATCTTTGGAAATGGATTTTTTTTTTAAACACAGGAGCACACTGGGCAATCAGTTAGCCTTAGGAAAAGGGAATCTAGGTGTGTAAGGGAAAACATAAATGATGGAAGTGAAGGGAGACATTGGTGACTGTGTCAAAGATAAAAACTCTCAGCAAAGTACAATATGGCAGAATATGTCAGTTTTGAAAAGGGGGAGGGGAAGGGAAAGCTCATCAACACTTTCATAGGCTGTGTTTAGAGAACACAGGCACATATCAGGGCAGCAAGGAGGAAATGGAGTCAGAAGACCTGGGGTCAAAACTTAGTTCTGCCACTTACTAGCCTCTGGATAGTGGGTTATATCCCCTCTCTGAGCCTTGGTTTCCTCATGTATAAAACTGAAATTTTGGCTTTTGCACTACCTTCCCAATAATGAAGAACTTGCTTGGCAAACCTTAAAGTGCTATATAAATGTGAGCCATTTTTATTGCTAAAAGTGGGGGATAGGGTGAAAAATTAGTAAAGCTCTCTTTTCCTGGACAGTCTGGTAGAAGTAAATTATGTGACTAATACTCCCTTTCAATAGCCCCCATTGTCCCCTACCCCCTTTTTGCTATGTCCATTCATTACAGTTTTTTAGTATGTTTTCTCTATCTTCACATGATCTTGTTTTGTCAACAGATAGATCTGCTTTCATCCTGGAAAACTGCATTTCAGAATATTCTTAATGCATTTTAAACAACAAATAATTTTGTTAACTACCAATTATATAGTATGAATTATCCTTAAATATTTTTGGGTTTTGCTTGATGTTATTAGAATATTAAGTTTTCTATCTATACAGAATGTTAAGTTTAGGTATTGTTTTTACAGTTAAATAACTTACAATACAAAATAATTCATGCAAACTTACTTCAAAGTCAAGGTCCGAATATCGTGATTTTCTTCTCTGTTAGGCATTAAAAAAAATGAATTCAATAAAATTAGGTTTAGCCATGCAAGTAATTTCATTAATTTCAATATAGATGCTCCAGCTTTCTTTCCTAATTGAAATTTGGTTTTAGGAATATTTCTTTTCACAAAAGAACCCATGCATATTATGATTTAAAATAATTTCTAGAAACCTGTCACATACTTTGATAATTATTTTTGGGAAAATCTCAATAAAATTGCCTTCCCCCCTTCTCCAGTTACTATGATTTAAGGGAGTATATATTTTTATGCTAAAAATTCATTTGTATTCTTAAGCGTCATCTTCACTTGTATCTAGCTCTAGAAGTAAGTCAGATTTTTTTCATCATTTAAATTCATCTCTCTACTACTCAATCTTGAAAGAATGTTAATGGATATTCCTGAAGCAGTGAAGACAAACACAGAGAATAAGAATCCTGGAAAGTTTGAGTGAAAACCTGATGCTTTCATGGGAATCATTCTAAACCTGCCTATCTGTACGAGCTTCAGAGGTAAAGATTTTGCAATCTCCTCTAAATACATCTATAAGATCACATTACTTAATAATCCATTATGTGAGAAAATTCTAATTGCTGGCCCTTGGGAAGAAAAGGATTCTTTCCAATTTGATAGAAGTTTAGACCATGCTACATATCTAGGACAAATTTGATGAAAATATCTTATTCTAAGTTACTTAATCTTTGTGGCCTTAGCTTTTAAATACAATTTCTGAGGTCTTTTTTTTTTAAATCAATTTGTGTTCCTGAAATAAAAAATAATCAAGTACAATATAAATCTGGAATACATTTAATTATTGATACTGAAATTGTACCAAGGATATTTTCAATGAGTGCACAAAGGCTGAGCCTAATACTTTTCTTCAACTACAGAAAGCAAGTTGTTCTACCCTACCAGGCTAGAGTCACCAGACCACAAACTGTGTAAGACATACTATTAGGGCAGTGATTTGTCCCAAGGCCATTTTTAGCTGAACTACATTAAAAAAAAAAAAAGATGAAGAGAATAACATAGGAGTGGTAACAATAATTAACAACAGCACAAAACCAACTGATATTTGGGTAGCACATTAAGGTTTGCAAAGTACTTTATGTATATCCTATCAAGAACCCTGAAAGGTATGTTCATTAGTGGAAAGTGCTGGATTTAGAATCAGGGGAGCTGATTTCTATCTCCAGCTGGTCAGCCACTTACTACCTAAGTCACATATGACTTTGGGCAGGTCACAATGTAGCTCTCTGGGCCTCAGTTTACTCATCTGTAAAATGATGAGGTTGGGCTAAATGACCTGTAAGGTGCGTTCCAGCTCATGTATTGTCCCCATTTTACAGAAGAGGAAACTGAGCCTCAGGGAAGTTAAGTGAGCTGCCCACAGATCTAATACATTAGAACTGGACGTTGAATTCCTGATTCCAAGTCTGGTACCCTTTTCGCTATACCACATTGCCTCTGAGGCTTTCTTAGCAAAGTGAGGATAGACAGCAGTGGAAGGAGAGGGGTCTAAATGGCTTTGTTCAATCACTTCAGTTTGTAACCCTATTTAGGATTTTCTTGGCAAAGACACTGGAGTAGTTTTCACTTTCTTCTCCAGTTCATTTTATAGATGAAGAAACAGGCAATCAGGGTTAAGTAATTTGCCAAGGTCACATAGCTAGTGAGTGTCTGAGGCCACATTTGAACTCAGGTCTTCCTGACTCCAGGCCTGGTACTCCATCCACTGTGCTACCTGACTACCCAGCTAAATGGGCTTATGGCTGGTAAATGTGGAACAGGCCTTTCAAAATCCTGAGACGCTAACACAGTAATTTTCTAGATTAGAAAATTTATTCTTTTGACAACTTAGTGATTTTTTAAAAAGATTTTCAAGATAAAACCAGACTGTTAGGCAATTATAACTTCAAATCAGAGTAAAAGCAACTTGTAAACCTTTGGGCAAATTTTTTCTGCTTCATCTTTTCTTCCCTTTCTGTTCCTTCTCTTCTGATTTTCCCTTCTCTGATATTTATATGCCTCACTTCAATAAACATAACAGCCAAATACTAACATCAAAGAAAAGTGAGAGAAATAGTTTTAGTTATTGAGCATTAGGATAAATATAGAGTACCACAATAAAATGTAGCTTATTGCAAAAGAAGCCTGAGGTAGCTATAACTAGAATAAGATACAAATATTATACTTTAATACAAAACTGAAAACCTCCCTAAAATGAGTCAGCCCTCCAGGGAAAAATACACCAAAGGACATTTCAGTAGACAGAAATCTAGATACCAGAAATCTCTTTCTTAAAAAATAAATAAAATGAAACAAAAATACTGCAATAAACTCACTTTAATGAACTTCTCCAGACCTAATGTCTCACTTGAATTGAAATTTGTGAGAAGGCCCAGAAAGAAAGTCTCTTTTTTTTTCTTCTGAGACATGAAGCATTTTAAAACCATTTTATATCTTGTCTCCAACACTCCTTTCCAGTAGCACTAGTAATATGACATTATGCATGGAGAGAGGTCTGCAAAAGGGTATTAATAACATCCCTTTCCCCACCCCTACCTCCTTTGGTTGCTTTAAGTGTGTAGTAGAAACCTGTGTCTGGTATCCTGCACCTTACTTAACTGCAAGATGTTTAGATAAATGCCAGTGTTTCAGTTCTGCTCTCGGACCATTCAGCCTTCTTGGCATTATGTTTTAGCAGGCCATTCTGTAAGTATGTGTTAAATAGAGTTCTTTTTTAATACAGCAGAACCCAAGCTCCAAACGTTCAAGTTTCAGCAAAGCATCTCAGCACATTAGTTGTGAACTTTGCCTTTGTGTTCCAAAATTAGACAGTGTAAGATTTGGAGGGGAAAAAAGTAAAGTTTAGACATCTGTAAGCAAGGGGCTCTTGTGTGGCAGGCATCCAGGGGTCCTTCTGTGGCCACAGGTGATCAAAGCCATATTGCTGCCCTGTCAGCTTCTGAAAACTAAGCTGTGCTGGCTAAGAGATGGGAGAGGCTGCTAACGGCTCCATCTGTTATTCGCAAAAGGCAGGTTCAACAAAGAGGAATACTACACATAAATTCTGCTTCTGTCAGCAGATGTCACCTATGTCAATATGAAATATTGGAGAAAATCGAGGTTTATTTACAGGAGTACCCATCTATATTTGATTTCATTAAAATTTAATTTTCACATAAGGGGAGAGCAGAAAAAGGAGCAGGAAGTAGGACTTAAGGAAGTACAAATGGAACAAATAGATTTTAATGAAAGAATCCTAACTGGGGGTGGGAAAGGGAAGACTGGAAATTGAGGGGTGATAAACTGCCTGCACAGCATGATGATTTTGCACAGATTTCGGGAAGGTGCATCACTCACTGGTTGATTTGACACAATGGAGACCAAGGGGTACTCGGGCTCTTTGTGAGAAGGTTCTACCTTCTTTCCCTAATGCTTTGAAATCACTGGGGAGAAGAAGAGAGGGGAAGTCAAAGCCAGGCTTGGAAGCAGTGTTGCCTATAAAGCCTGTGGGCAAACCATGCCATACATTCCTCCCTGCTAAGAACCCTGGGAAAATGAGAAAAAGGGGGATAGTGTGATGCCAAATACCCTTGGAGAGCCACCAGGTAAGAGAGAACACTTGATCTGAAAATCAATTTGGATAATTCAGTCAAAGTTAATTGAATCAAACAGAAAACCCAGATGGTAAATCAAATTTCTTAAAGCCTAGAAATGCCCCTTAAGATAGGTGTAGGGTAAAAGGAGATGGGTTGTTAGTGACCAGTAATAAAGTTTTATGACAAAACTGATTATATCTAAAGCACAGGTCTGTTCCAGAAGCTTCAGTGGCTCCTATTGCATCTGGTATATGAGACATCTTCTGTTTGGCATTTAAAGCATTTCACAGTCTGGATCCAACCTGTCTTTCCATACTAACATCACACTACTTTTCTTCCTGTACTTTACATTCCATCTAAAATAAGCTATCTGTGGTTCCTCAGACACAATCTCTTATGTCCGACTGTAGTGACTTTGCATATGCCTGGAATTCTCTCTTTACTTATCTCTACCTTTTCCCACCAGGGGCAGCTTAAGCACTACTCCCTATTTAAGGCTTCTCCAGATCCTCACAGATATTAGTGCTCACTTTGCCTAGAATAATAACTGACACAAAGCAACTACTTAATAAGTAGTTCACCCTCAGGCCTTCTCTAGTACAGACTCACCTCAAAATGCTACCTCCTAGATTCCCTGGGTCATATCATTTGTTCTCTCTTCCTGCTGTGAAGCTGGATACATCACCACCTACCACTAGCAGGGAGGATGTAAAGGCGTCTACTCATCTACTTTGCTCAGATTACTTCTCTCCAGCCATCAATACTCTGCATAGACTCATCCAATGGTAAGCATATTCCTACTTTCTTATAATTTCTATCCCAATAATTCTTAATCCACCTGGTGCCTCTGTATGAAACCCATTCTCCATACCAAATCACTATTCCTTTATTCATATACTTTGGTCCCACTCTAGATAGTGTCGCCCCTTTCACTGCGTCTTCTGGAATGCCTCTTCCATAGTTAATACACTTCCATTCACCTCAAACCCTTTCCTTTCTCACTCTTTCTCACTGCTTCCCAGTAACACTTTAATCCTGGCAGCCCTTTATAACTCTGATGACACTTTCTCTCATACTCCTAGACTCACTGGTCACATTGCAACTTCTCCTCCTTTGAGGGTCACACAAGTTAAATATTTCTCAATTTAGATCCTGGTAGCTATTATCTATCTCCTCACAGGACATTCTCCTTCCTTCCTCAATGAGTTCAGTTTCAGGGTCACAGTCTTTCTCTCTACCCCAATTCCTGTCCCCATACCAGGACACTTCAACACACAGATTTGTGTTGCCTCAGATACCTAACCTATAAATACCTAACCATATTCCTCAGTTCCTCAAACTATTCAGTTCCCATATCCTAATCCTCCATTCCATCTCAGATGATCTTGCTATC